TATAAATCCTTCCTACCTTGAACTAAAGTTTTTTCCTTCCTCCCATAAGTTTTAGGTGAAGAGTATAGTCCTCTTTAGAATCCATATCAAACTGTTTTTAGTATTTTTATGATACCAAATTTTAAACCTTTAGTCATAGGTGTGATTTTTTTGGAAACATCTAAAAATCATTTAGCCCCAAACCTGGTAAATAAACTAGATAATTTTTTTTCATTAACAAGGAAAGAAGGGAGAGAAGAAAGGAGGAAGACAGAAAAATTCCCTAAGTACTGATTTTCTTCGGTGACTTAAACTGATAAAATGTTAGTCCAAAAAGAAGTTTCTATGAACGGCAGCAATTTGGAATAAGAATCCACTTTAAAGTGAACAAGAGGGTAACATTCATTTGGATATGAATGTCTTTTTGAACCTGACAAAAATAAAATGGCATACAATCACACCTTGTAAGCCTCTGAAAACAGGACAGAGGGAGGAGATCAGATGATGCAAAATCTCTCATTCATCCTTTCTCAGACTCTAGGGGCTTGGCTATATCCTCCTTGCTGACTGTGTGTATACAGTACCTCTACAAGGAAGAATAGACGGTAACATATTTACTCCTGATTGTTTTCTCTGGTTTTACAAGCTTTCCTATGTAAAATAGAATAGAAATACCAGTCTAAAAATTGAAATTAAAAGAAGCAGAATCTAATACTGATTGTATATGTGACCTGGGATGTTACATGTCCTCTCTGAGCCTCAGTTTCATCCTCTGTTCATCTGTAAAATGGCAGGATTCCTTTTAGGTCTGATTGGATTAATACAGTATTTTGTTCTTGCCACATTCCATTCTTCTCGGGAAAGCAACATGATTCTCATCTATAGATTCAGAGGTGGATTTACCAGGGAGTCATAAAGTGTAAGATCAGGGCCGCTCATCTGCACAAACTATTCCCGGGTTCTGGAGGAGATGATGTGTTCATGGAGTCATAAATTTTTGTAAAATTTGCCAAAGTAGATACTTCTGTGTGTTTTTAAAATTCTCTCCTTCTTTCTCTCTTTTATTATTATTCTTATTATTTTGAGGCAGGATCTCGCACTCTCTCACCCAGGTTGAAGTGCAGTGACCTGCTCATAGCTCACTGCAGCCTTTAAATTTTGGGCTCAAGCCATCCTTCTGCCTCAGTCTGTCAAGTAGTTGGGACTACAGGTGTGCTCTACCATACCTGGTTATTTATTTATTTATTTATCTTTGTAAAGTAAGGTCTTTCTATATTGCCCAAGCTGGTCTCAAACTTTTGGCCTCAAGGGATCCTCCCTCCTCGGCTTCCTAAAATTCTGGGATTATAGGCATGACCCACCATGCCTTGCCTGTATTCTTTTTCTTAAAAAGGGTTTCTGGCACTGCTTAAGGCTCAAGCTCCACAAAACCAGATCTGCCCATATATAGAAGACATATTTCTTCTAAATCCAGCGTAAAATTTAGAGTTCATGGAAAGTAGACAAAATCATCAAGTGATCAAATAAGAAAAGTCCAGAAGCTAGCTTTAAAAGCAAACACTTTCAAGTTCCTCTACCTCTCATCTCCTCTTTGGCGTATTCTGTTCTTTTGTTTTGTTTTGTTTTGTTTTGTTTTGAGACAGAGTCTTGCTCTGTCACCCAGGCTGGAGTACAGTGGTGCAATCTTGGCTTACTGCAATCTTCCTTCCCAGGTTCAAGCAATTCTCCTGCCTCAACCTCCCAAGAAGCTGGGATTACAGGCAAGTGCCACCACGCCTGACTAATTTATTTTTGTATTTTTAGCAGAGATAGGGTTTCACCATGTTGGCCAGGCTGGTCTTGAACTCCTGACCTCAGATGATCCACCCGCCTTGGCTTCCCAAAGTGCTAGGATTACAAGCGTGAACCACTGTGTCTGCCCTGTTTTGTTTTTTTAAGAACAAGAAGTGGGGAATTTAAATGGCAAAATGGCTGACCCAAATTCATAACCTAGATTGAAGTCATAAAATGCACTTCTGATAATAGTTCTCTGCTCTAGTACCAGGGAAAAAAAACAAAAACAAAAACAAAAATAAAAAAACAAAACCCTGAAAGCATGTGGTGATCTACTTCACTAACAAAAAATCACAAACCGTAGAGCACAACCAGTGAAACTGGATATACAGCCATTTGCCATTCCTTGAAGGCCAGTTGTCACATTCATCTCATGTTTTTCTACATCATAGAAAATAGAGTAGCCAGTAGCTGTTTTTCAGGCACAGCAGAGATTATTTTTACTCTCAATTACAGTGACCAAAATAGTAAGAAGTGCACTGGGAGGAAAGACTGGGCTGGCATTTATTAAATTAGTTTTCAAGACAGAGTCAGTCTTCATAAAAATGAGTTGGGGGTGTGTGTGTTTAGGGTTCCTCCCAGTTGCTGCATGCTCCTGTGGCTTGCCTTCCTCACAGCCACCTGTGGCTTGCCATCTGCACAGTCGCTGCCTCTGGCTTGCCTTTAGGGTGTAACCAGTCGTATGTGTTCTCCTGCTGCAGCCCCCCAGGCCATCTCCAGGTTCTTGGAGCTTCAATCAAGTTCCCTGGACTGTTTGGGTACCCATACCGGACCAAGCTGCATGGAGTCTCAGCTCCTCACATATGGGGGCATCAACCCTGGGGTATTCTAGTCATCACAAGATTACTAAACACAAATCTGACTTCAGCTGCAGGGAAGCCAAGATAACTGTAGCTGGGGGGTAAACCACACACACACACACACACACACACACACACACACACATTTATTCAAGTTGTTGGGAATGTAAGTTACGCCGTGATGTTTCACAAGCCACTTATGCAATGGTCAGTCTACTTCCTGAAATTGATTCCGCTGGTGGTGCCAGTAGGAAAAATATATCAAGAAAATTTTTTAAATCAACAACAATTACGCAAGTATTAAACTCTACATTCCTTTGTCCATGAAATTCTTTCTTCCTCTATCTTGTTCACCACTGTGCTTCTAGTTCCTTTCTCTGCCTCTATCCACCAATATTGTCTTCTGGAGACATAAGCTGTCAAACTCACTTAACATTCATTCATAAAAATACTTATTGAGTGCCTACCTTGTGCCAGCACTGTGTTTTGCTCTGGGGAAATGAAAATTAAGAAGAAATGGTTCCTGCTCCCATTGACTATACAGTCCAGTGGGAACAATGGAGAAGTAACAGAGGGCATAGTGCATTGTAGTTAAGTATTGAGATCAGGCTCACTCATAGGATGTCTACACCTGAATCTATTCAAATGCTTTCAGGAGATGCCTGGAAGCGATGTTCAGTAGACTCTCACGCACACTCCCTAGATGTGACCAAAGAAGCTCTGCAGTCATCCAAATGTTTCATTTGGAGAAAACGTTCTAATGATTTTTAACACATATGAATATCTAGTGCTTTAGTTTTCTATTGCTGCCTCAGTAAGTTACCACAAACCTGGCAGCTTAAGACAACCCTCGTTTATTATTTCACAGTTTTATAAGTCAGATGTCCAACAAACTTGGCTGGGATTCTGCTTATGATCTCACAAGGCCAAACTCAGGGTGTCAGGGCTTTTCATGGGAGGTTCTAAGGGAGAATCTACTTTCTGGCTCATGCATGTTGACAACAGAATTCATTTCCTCCTCATGGTTCCCATGTTCCCATTCTGTCTTGAAGTCAGCAATGGTGGATTTAGCACTTCTCATACTTCAAAGCCCTCTGACTTCCCCTGTACCTTCCTTTTATGATTTCAAGGGCTCATATGATTATATCTGCCCACCTGGATAATCAGGATAATTTCCCTACTTTAACGCTTTTCAGGAATAATTCATTGATATATAATATCTCACAAGACTCTTTCTCTTCCTTAGGAAACATGTCATTTCCCTCCATGTTTTGTCTGTAGAATTTTTGTTCCAATCCTAAATAGGAAGTTGGCAGTTAACCCTAACACAATGAACAAACAAAAATCTGTGGAAGTTCAGTCATGAGAAAGAAATCTGTGAGAGAGAGATTCACAGGTTCTAAATGCTATACTTCACACCTGTTAGAATATCTGTTATTTAAAAAGAAAGAAAAAAGAATAACAAGTCTTGGTGAGGATGTGAAGAAACTGGAATCAGTGTTGGTAGGACTGTATAATGGTACAATTGCCACGGAAAATGTATGGTAATTCCTCAAAAATTAAAAATAGAACTACTATATGATCCAGCAATCCCATTCTGGGTATATATCCAAAAGAATTGAAAGTAGGGTCTCAACATGTTCATAGCAGCATTATCCCCACACTAGCCAAAAGGTAGAAGCAACTCAAGTGTTCATCAAGAGATGACTGGATAAACACAATGTTATACATACATGCAATGGAATATAATTCAGCCTTAAAAAGGAAGGAAGTCTGGTCACATGCTACAACATGGATGAACCTTGAAGACATGCTAAATGAAATCATCCCGTCACGAAAAGACAAATACTGTGTGATTCCACTCATATCAGGTACCTAGAGTTGTCAAATTCATAGAAAAAGCAAGTAGAATGGTGGTTATCAAGGGCCTGGGGAGAAGAGGAAAAATGGAGTTGTGATTTAAAGGGTATAGAGTTTCAGTTCTGCACGATGAAAAAACCCTGGAGATCTGTTTCACCACAATATGAATATACTTAACACTACTGAACTGTATAGTATAAATGCCTAAGTGGAAAATTTTATATAAGTATTATTACTATATTTAAAAACAGAATATACCAACACCAAGAGTGAACCCTAGTTTAAACTATGGTCTTTGGATGATAATGATTTCTCAGTTTAGGTTAATTGATTGTAACAAATGTACCACTCTGGTACAGGATGTTGCTAGTTAGGGAGTCTGTGCTTGTGTAGGGGCAGAAGATGTGGGAACTCTCTACACTTTCCGATCAATTTTGCTGTGAATCTAAAACTTTTCTAAGGAATAAATCTAGTTAAAAATAGTTCTAAATTTTAGACTATGCAAACATTGTAAACATCCAATAATACCTTCAGAAAAACTTGCTTATGCCATGGTTGAGGACGTCAGTGGATGGCCTCAAAGACATCATCAGTGTGTCGTAACACAAGCCATAACCTATGGTCAGTTCCTGCTCCTTTGGGAGTCACTCCTTTGGAACAGGCAGAACCCCTTTCTTCATCTACAACAGAAGAGGACACATTAAGTGACCACTAAGACTGATTTGACCAGCACATAACTTTATGAGGCTATGATTGTAGGTTCCATATGTGATTTTCATTGAGACTGTAAAATAGATGACTTAATTTGGGATTTGTGATTGTAATTCATGATTATGTAATACTTCCCAGATTCCCCATTTAGAAATATAACAACAATGACTGTGTCCATGAATTCACACCCAACTATGATTGGAATTTTCATATGCAGGACCTAAAACCAATTAAGCTATCCTTCCTTAAAAAAATGTACAGCCATAAAACAAATCTCAACAGATTTTAAAAGACTAATATCATATGAAGTATCTTTTTCTAAACATGATAAAAAATAAACTAGAAATCAATAGCAGAAGGCAAGTTGGAAATACATAAATATGTGGAAATTAAAAAACACCATCTTAAAAAACCAGTGGGTCAAAGAAGAGGTCATAAGGGAAATTAAAAAACATCTTGAGTCAAATAAAAATAATGCTCATGAGATGTTGGAAAAACAGTGCTAGCTATTAATCTGGGAATATACGAATAGACCAATAGAACAGAATAGAGAATGCAGATACAGACCTTGATGTACAGAAACTTGATATTTAGCAGAGGGGGAGAGGGCATTAGAAATCAGTAGGAGAAAAAAATTAATTATTCAATAAGTGATTCTAGAACAATATAGATCTCAATTATTAGAGCTTAACATTGTAAGGGTAAATATCAAGGTTCCTACTTGTTCTCCCTGTTCAGAGTCATTAAGGCTTTGCACAAACTTTTTCTCTTCCATTGAATTTTAGGTTTAAGCTCATTCACTGCTGTAAAGATTTCTGTTGCAATTTTTACTAAAATTCCATATAATGTCAAGATTATTCTCACAAAATAATGACATCTTTAAAATATTGAGTCTTTCCCCCATAACATATCTCTCCACTTCTTCAAATGTTGACATCCACAATAATATTTATGGTTTAGTTCACAAGTCTATAAACTCATAGAAGTCTTGTGTATCAGTAATATTTGTTGGCATTTTGCAGGTTTATTTAGTATTATAAGTAAGATCTTTTTACTATGCTTTCAATTTTGTTATAAATGTTTTCCAGCATATACAAAAATAGAGAGAATGGTTTGATAACCCCCCATCAGCCCATTCCCCAGATTCACCAACTACCAACATTTCATCATATTTGCATTAGCTCTTTGGTCCTTGCTTTTTTAATATTCATTTTTCAGTGAGATATAACTTACCTACAATAAAATACACAGATTTTAAGAGCAAGATATAGGACATTTCTATCCCCCAGGAGGTTTCTTCCTGCCCCTTTGATAAATCCTACCCCCACACCAGCACTGCCAACATCCCATAGGCAGCCACTGTTTTATTTCTGTCTTAAATGTAATAATAGAGTCGTTTGCAGTTTGTTTCTTTTACTCAAAATAATGACTTAGAAGTATATTCATGTTGCTCCATGTAGCTCCCCCCTTTTACTGCTGCGTATTATTTTAATGCTTAAATATGCCACAATCTGTTTATCTATTCTACCTGTTGAGGGACATTTAAGTTGTTTCAAGTTTGGGTTATTATAAATAGAGCCACAATTAACATTCTAATAAAAGTCTTTTCATGGACATATGTGTTCATTTCTCTTGTGGAAATATCTATAAGTCATGGGGTAGGTATATGCTTAACTTTATAATAAAGTTCAGAGGAAACTGCAAAACAGTTTTTTAAATTACCTATCTAATTTTACTTTCTCAGCAGCAATGTATGAGAGTCACAGTTGCTCCACATCCTTGCTTATGTTTATTATTGTATATCTTTTTAATTTTAGCTAACTTACTTAGTATAAAGTGATATTTTCTTGTGATTTTTATTATATTTCCCTAATGTCTAATAATTTGGGCAGCCTTACATGAACTTACTGGCCTTTCATAACTCATTTGTTTTTGTGTCATTAATCATTTTATTTTTGAGTGGTTTATATAGTTCAGATCTAAGTATTTTGTCAGATACAGGTATCGCAGATATTTTCCATCAGCCTATGGTTTTATTGATTCATTTCTTGTATATCTTTTAATGAGTAGACTTTTTTTTTTGCTTTTTTATTGAAGTGTAATTGACATACAAGAAACTGCACATGTTGAAAGGGTTCGATTTGATGAATTTTGACATAGGTATACACCTTTGAAACATCAAAATAATCAAAATAATGAACATAGCTACCGCTCCCAAAATTTCCTGGTGCCCTGTCATAATGCATACTTCCCTCCACCCCTATCCTCACACAACCACTTATCTGTCACTATATATTAGTTTGTATTTCTTAAAATGTTATATATAATAAATGGAATCCTTTGGTTTGTATTCTTTATTATATCTAGCTTCTGACACTCAGCATAACAATTTTGAGATGGATCCTTACAATTGTGTTTATCAACAGTTTGCCCCTTTTCATTGCTGAGGATTTCATTGTACGGATACATCATAATTACTGTATTTTTACCAGTTGATGGCTATTTGCATTTGGGGGGCGTTGGATATTACACAAACAGCTGCTATGAACATTCATGCACAAGTCTTTGTGTGGACATGTTTTCATATCCCTTGGGTAAATACTTAGGAGTAAAATGGCTGAGTTGTATGATAAGTATACATTTAGTCTTTTAAGAAACTGTCAAACTGTTCTCAAAGGGTTTTATCGCATAAATTGTTAGCAGGGGGCTATGCTCTTTCTGAAGGCTGTCGAGAAGAATCCTCCCTTGCCTCCTTCCTAGCTTCTCATGGTTGTGGGCAATTTTTGGTGTTTGCTGACTTGCAGCTGCATCACTTTAACCTCTGCCTCTGATTTAATATGGACTTCTTCCCTGTGTTTCCTTTGTATTTCTGTATCCAAATATTCCTCTTCTTCCACTCACAGAATTAGGGCTTATCCTAATCCAGTATGATTTGATTACATCTTCAAAGATCCCATGTGAAAAAATAGATTCACAGGTACCAGGAGTTAAGACCCCAACATGTCTTTTGCAGAACATGATTCAACCCACAATAATGTGAATTTATCTTTACTAGTCCTACTTGTAATTTTGAGTTCATAAGTGCACATTTGCTGTAAGAATTCATGTCTTTCTTTAATTCAGGAAAAATGTCAAATACCTCTTAAATATCTAGCATTTTATTTAGTCTCTTTCTTTGGAACTCCTCTTAAAAATATGGAAAATTATAAATCTACTTGCTGTGTCTTTTAATTCCTTTTTCATATTTTTGAATCTCTTTATGTTTTTGTTCTGTTTTCTGGGTTAATTATTCTATATTATCTTCCAAAGTTCTAATGCTCTTTTTAACTGTGTTCAAACTATAATTCATTATACCTATTGAGGATTTTTGCTTTTGTTTTTGTTTCTTGATTTCAGTGACTGTATATTTTAGGTTAAATGTATCTTTTGAATTGTCTTCTCTTATATTTTAGCTGTCATTACTATGTGTTAGGAGCAGATAAAAGTGTGTCAAAGTAACAATTTATGCAATCATCTAGATCAAAAGTCTTCTATTCACTCTTAGACTCCCTCCCAACAGGTTCCTAACTCTAAGAATTTGGCACTGATTACCAACCATTCTATTTTGAAATGCTCTTCTCCATTGGTTTCAAGATAAAGCTCTGTCCTTCTCCTGTCTTCCTTCTTAGATTCCTTCTGGGTTAATCTTGCCCTTGTTTCCCCTTCAGATGCTGACTGATCTCATACAATTCTCTTCTTCTGTAAGTAAGAAAAAGTTATTAAAGATTTTTGAAAAGAAGCATAGAATACTTCAGACATCTCTGTGAAAAGGATTTTTAAAACCCTATACTGAAGAAACTCTTTGTTACATTCAGCTATAGATATAAATTCAGATTATCCACAGGAAAATTGCTCTACCCAGAACTCTAATCATTCTTCACTGCAGAATCAGCGTGGACAAATTGTCTTGTAGACTCTTTCTCTGTAGTGACTGTAACTCATCTTAGATATCTGACAGGATTAATGCAAGTACCGTTAGGTTGGCAACTGGCAAAATTCAAACATGGAGCTACTCTGAAATGCAGATGGTTCTTCTTGGCAATTAATCTTTTTCAAAGCAAAATGGGTGCCTTGGTTTGGAGGTTGTCTGTTACCCAATAGCAGTACCAAATGACAGCCACATTCTTATCTCCCTTGGAAAAGTTGGGGGAGGGGATTCCTTATTTGCTACCCTTCCAAGTCATAAAAGTAAAGTTAATTTCAATAGTCCAAAAGAGAAAAGACAAGACCAAGATGCATCCTGTTTTCTCGGAATAATACTTACAGTCCTAATAATAATAATAATAATAATAATAGCTAACATGGACAACATTGTTACATAGTCAGGCATTTTTCCAAGTACTTTATGTATATTAACTAACAATCCTCATAACTTCTCTATAAAGTAAGTACTATTTGTACCCCTATTTGCACCTGGAAAAACTCAGGAACAGAGAGATTAAATAAGTTGATCACAGGTGCAATACATCTTATAGATCCCCAACTCTGGGCTTCTTTTCTCTTCTTCAAGAAATACCTTCACCTTCTCTAATCAACCAGAGATAAAGTGAACAGATAAAATGCAGGATGTCCAATTAAACATGAAGCTCTGATAAATAGCAAATAAGTTTTTAGTATAAATATGTCTCATATCATATTTGGGACATAGTTACACTAAAATATAATGTCTTGCCTATCTAAAATTCAAATTAACTGGGTATTCTGTATTTTTATTTGCTAAATCTGCCAACCCTGCCCAGGGACTTTGTGTTTTCCCTGTCTCATAGAAATTGCTTGTCAAGAAAATTCTAGGCTGGGCACAGTGGTTCAAACATGTAATCCCAGCAGCCTGGGAGGCTGACAGGGCCAGATCACTTGAGGTCAGGAGTTCGAGACCAGCCTGGCCAATGTGGTGAAACCCCGTCTCTACTAAAAATACAAAAATTAGTCAGGCATGGTGGCACATGCCTGTAATCCCAGCTACTTGGGAGGAGAACTGCTTGAACTGGGAGGCAGAGGTTGCAGTGAGATGGCACCAGCCTGGTCGATAGGGCCAGACTCTGTCTCAAAAAAAAGAAAGAAAAAGAAAAGAAAAAAAGATTATAACTGCCCATGTATTTTTTTGAAAATTGAAGTCAGACCGTCCACCTTCTCAGATATAGTCACAATTTAAACCTCATTTCAAGTTTTGAAAAGGGGCCTGATATAATTTTAGGCCTCAGTAAACAAGTGAGGGAGATTTTAGGGGAAGAACTGAAGCAAACTTATTTCCCTAGCTCAGAGAGTTCACTGGAGACCTTTTGGGACTAAGTCCTATCCAGAGCTATTCTGGATGGATGTTCAGGATAAGCACCAGAAGGAGCCTCACCCAGACTATCCTGCCAGGCCAAAAACATCTATTCCAGGGTCTCACAACTACATTTGGGGCTGGGTAATCCTCTGCTGCAGGAGCCTGTCCCATGGATTGTAGGATGTTCAGCAGCATCCCTGGCCTCTAACCACTAGATCCCTGTAACACCCACCCCTCTAGTTGCAAAAACTAAAAACATCTCCAGACACTGCCAAAGGTCCTCTGGAGGTGAAATCCTCCTTGGCTAAGAACCACTGATCTAGGGAAATCCCAAAGACAGGAGACTTCTAGAAGGTAAAACCAAGAAATCTTTGAATGAAACAGATACACTCCCATCCTACTTGAAACAAATCAGGTGAGCAGGTACTTGGCATTTTTATCATCTTGGCTGGTTGATGACAAAAGTTCTCTTGGCTGCATTTGTCTAATTTCCCTTCAGTGGGCCACTACAGAACACATGTTTTTCAAAGGATGGTCTCATTCATATAAATAGATAAGGAAAAAACTGCAGAGGCTGTCTTATCTAATTAACTTTTATACAAAAATGGTATAGTTCTAGAAAGCTCAATTTAAAATCATTGAGATGATGGACCCTCTTTAGAAATATAAAGCCATTTATTTAGGCCTAAAAAAAATTAGAGATGGAAAGCATTACAAAGTTTTAAAAGCTATCCTTTGAAACATAATTACTTTCTGTATACTTAGTTTATATATTAAATGTTTTAAAGTCATAGAATTTTTGTTTACAGCTGCAGAGTCCAAATAATGAAGTTTTGATGTAACAAGGTGGGGACTACAAATGTGTGAAATATTAGTATCAGTGTAGCCCAGAAACCAAGCCAATTTTTCTGTTTTATTTTTGTTTTTGAGACGAAGTCTTGCTCTGTCGCCCAGGCTGGAGTGCACTGGCACAATCTTGGCTCACTGCAACCTCCACCTCCTGCATTCCAGTGATTCTCTGGCCTCAGCCTCCCACCACCATGCCTGGCAAATATTTTTATTTTTAGTACAAATCACTTCAGCTGGAGATGGGGTTTCACCATGTCGCTCAGGCTGGTCTCGAACTTCTTGCCATGTCAGTTTTTATAGGCATGGTGCCCTTTGCCATGCTGGACTTAGAAAAAGTCAGCCTGGTTTAGACTGATCTAGAACCCATTAAATTCATCTTTCACTCTTGGTTTCAGTGATGGTAAAAAACCACACCACTGCATTACCTCTCTAGCTGAAGTGATACATCAAATCACACCTTTGCCTCCTCCTTTCCCTCCCACACACACCCACTCCAGATGCTGGTGTCATCTCCTTAGTATTTTTCCTAGATCAGGGATCAGAAATGATAGAGTTCTTTAATATTCTTCAGTCCATTTTCACTGCAGATATAGAAGGAAGCAAGTTAGATTTCTAGACAACTTGTTTTTTTTGTCAGCACCCCAGCACCCCAGCTGTTAGGACATATGTAGTTAGCCATGCAGCACTTGTAGTCACAGTACTTAACATTTTGGAATGCTTAAAACACATCAGGCTCTAGTCAGAGAACTCTACCTGTATCATCACATTGAATCTTCACAACAATCTTATGAAGTAATATGATTATCTCTAATTTGAGGTAACTGCAAACACAATTCATTCAAGGTCACATAGCTAGTAAGTGATGGAGCCATCCTTTCAACCCATATGCCTAACTTTGAGGTTCTCCCTGTGACCCACTGTGTCCTGGTGCACAGTGCTGTAAGTTCCACTGAAGAGCATGCAGTTTATCCACAGGGCATCAAGACATCATTGGTGGTCAGTTGTGTGTTTCAGAAAGATGATTCTCTCTGCAATATTTGATAAAAGACTGGAGGCAGAGAGGTCAATCCAGAAGCACTGTGGGTGACAAGGTGAGGTGGCCTGGACTAGGACAATGCCTGTGGGGAAGGAAAGAAGAAGATAAAGTCAAGGAGAATTGTGGAGGCAGATGCAACAGAATCTCAAGGTTGAGTGGCTGCTGGGGTAAGGATGAAGGGGATCATGGATGATGCCAAGATATCAACTTGCTGGTGCTATCATGCTATCATGATCCAGGGAACACAAAAAGCATGAGAGTGAGGGAGACAGAGGAAATGAATGTGGGATATGTTGGAATCCCCAGAACGATTTCCAACAGACAGGCTTCTGCTGCAAACGATACTTTTAGAAATCCCATTAAATGGTGTAACACTGATCTAAGCACTGGTGAACTAATGGGCAAGTAGCGTCTGCTGGCAGGTGAGGGTAAAGGTGTATGGGGCCCCATGACAACAAGCTGCCTGTCTGAAAAACAAAACAAACTGTGAGCCTAGTAGAGTGCTGACAGCCAATACCTGGGTAGAGATGAGCTGGAGGGAGAAATGAATGCCTCTGACTACGAACTGATCCTTCCCTTTCAATAGCCTCCAGATGACCTGTGTACCAAGCTCGGCAAAGACAGAAGTCTCTCAAGTAAATCTTGAAAAAAAGGGATAATGAAGCTCTTGTCCTATAAGGGGGTCAGAATGGTGGGAGGAATGAAGATGAAAATCACTTTTGACATGTGGATGTTTCATAGACATAAAGGGAATTTCCACAGAAATACCACATGGATTCTAAAGTGAACATTGAACTACTAGCCAATGCCCCCATCACCCGAGCTATCTAATGTGTAATTCCAGAGGGACCCAAGTTACCAGAGAACATCCATTAGATGCTAACTCCTTTGAGCAACAACTGCCTCCTATCAAATGAATCTTCAGACATCAGTGCAGGAAGGGAGGGAGAAGTTTTGAAGTTTTAGCATACAGAGAATATTAGTCGTCCAACATCTCTAAAATTTGTATAAATGATACCTAGAGCATATTAAAGCAAAGTTTACTGAATGATTATTAAGTACCATTAATATTAAGTACTCTGTGCTAAGTGCTGTCCATTCATTAGTCCGTTTAATTTTCACAACGAGGTAGATGGTGCTAATACCATTCCAAATAAGGAAACTGACACTTAGAGAGATCATCAGCTTACCAATACCATAGAGCTCATCAGAGGAAGAGTCAGGATTTGAACCCAGGTCTGTCTGACTTCAGAGGTCGAACTCATAAGCATAATACTGTTACCATGACTTTGAAGCTTATGAGAGAAATAACATGTTTCTCAGGCGGTCTGTCCATAGCCCCATTGTGAGGAGATCAGCATGGAGCAGACTTATGCAGTGCTGGTGAAGGGGTAGCTATTTCCTGCCACAGAACGAGCCTCATTTCCCTTCTCTAACCAGTCCAAGGAACTGCCAGGGAAAATTAGGCTCACTAAGTTGATCACACTCCTACAGCCTTCAATTTGAGAATAAAGAATGAAGATATTTCACAATGAATATAGCAAAGCACTCAGGCCCTGTCACTAGATTCTCTTTAAAAAGATTTATGCAAGAAAGAAATGTAGATCTTTTAAAGAAAGAATCTGAAAAGACTCTGAAAATGGAGGGCTCCTATAAAGCTAGTCTAGACATTTACTTCTCATCCATGGACTCTAAAATATATTGGAATGGAATCTGAATACACTTAATAGATTTCACTTAGACTTAAATTAAACTTATGGAACATACCTAGTTCAATTCCGCCTTGACAAAGCAAGTCATATTCTCCAGTGATGGATTGAGCATGTTTCTGGAAGTCAATGGAAACTGCTCAGAAGTGGGAGAGCTATGCCTTCCCACATGAGAGAAGGGTGTGGCAGGCAGCTTTGCACCTGTGGATAGAGGCTGGCCTGGCTCCGCTTGACATTCGCCTGGTAGCTCTGGGCTTCTTTCACACACCCACAATGGTATTTTCCCCTGTTGTCTTCAGAATAGCTAAGAACAGCAGAACCATGCCTTGATAGCCCCCAAATACAGATACCTCTCCATACATCTATATATCATGCAAAACTGCCAATGTGCTTTTAGGAGATTTCATCTTCCCCGCCTTTTTGACCTTAAAGATTTATTGGGTGGACGCAGTGGCTCATGCCTGTAATCCCAACATGTTGGAAGGCCGAGTGGAAGGATCGCTTGAGCCAGGAGTTCATATATATGAGGTAGATGGGCAAGGACAGAAGTCTCTCAAGTAAACCTGAGAAAAAGGGATAATGGGCAGCCTGGGCAACATGGTGAAACCCTGTCTCTACAAAAAATATTTTAAAATCAGCTAGCCATAGTAGCACACATCTGTAGTCACAGCTACTCAGGAAGCTGAGGTGGGAGGATCACTTGAGCCCTGGAAGTCAAGGCTGCAGTGAGCCAATTCCACTGCACTCCAGCCTGGTGACAGAGAAAGGCCTGTCTCAAAACACACAAACAAAAAACTTTCTTCATTTAATGGAATGATGGAACATATAGATGCTTGTATTCGTTTTCTATTGCTACTATAACAAATTATCATAAATGTGACAGCTCAAAAAAAATTACAATTTATTATTTTCCAGTTTTGGAGGTCAGAAGTCCAAAATGGATGGGCAAGACTGTGCTTCTTCTGGAGGCCCTGGGGAGAACCCATCTCCTACCCTCC